ATAACTAGATTGAATTTTCTTTTTTTTATGACAAAAAACTATAAATAAAATTAAATTCTTTTTATGATAACCAGATTTTGTATAGAAATCAAAGTATTTCCTGGATTGTCATACTTTTTCTGATTCAAGCACCTGAGGTTGCTAACCTTCTTACACCTTTTTAAATCTATGACCTAATACAATACCTGAAATGAGAGACGAAGAGAACCTGATACAATTACAACTAAAGCTTATTTTCAGGTATTTGCTTATTCTTGTCACCAATTTACATACTTTTCATTTTTCTTGACATCTGGGTTCAAAGATCTCAAATAAAATTTTCATTTTTAATTTTTTTTGGTTTTATTTCAGATGAAATGATTATTTGAGCTAAACTATAATGAATCAATATTAAAATAATTTATTTAAGAATTATGTATTTTTTTAACAGAAAATATATAATAATCGAACAAATATATATGTAACTTTTAGATTTAGACAATTATTAAAATATTTAAATTATTTTATTAGTTCAAGTTTATTTAAGAAAATTAACTTCAAACTAGGTAAAGCATAATATTTTAAGAACTGTGATGAAAGGCTAGAACAATATAATCTTATTAATAAGTCTGTTAAAACCATTTTTTAATTATTTTTAGACTTAAATTTGGTACAAAACTATTGACCCTTTTTCTATTTCTTAGTTCTTTCTTTAGGCTATTTCTTATTTGGTTTTTTCCAATACCTCATAATAAGCCATCAATTATTTTGAATTCATCACTTAGTTTTGCTAGCATATATCTATACTTTATCTGATTATTTGCTAATTAATAACTGATTCAAGAATATCAACTATTTGGATAAAGAAAAATAAAATCGATGTTATTGCTCAAATAAATTTGTTATTAGATCATTTAACTTTGTTCTCTATTAAAACAGATCAATAGATACAGCTGTTTTCAGTTTGGTATAAAAGAAAATCTATCCCTTTTTAATTCACAATAATATAAATTTTATTTGGAAATTTTTAGACATTGTATCTTTTTAGAGTAATCATTAAGAGTGTAAGTCTATTGAGTTGTATTTTTATACATCAAAATATTGTGAGTAAATGTATATCTAGTATATTTAACAATTCTTTCTTATTTTTAAATGATAAATGCTGTACTCTTTTATAGACGATATATTCATTTAAATTTTTTAAAATAAAATTTATTCATGAATTAAACAGGAGATCCAATAAGGAAAACTATTAGTAAATTGTATTTAATCATAATATGAAAATGAAATGTTTAAATTGTTAAATCAACATTTTATTCCTTTGATTATTTTAATACTATTGATAAATATCTCTCTCTAAATTAAATCCCTTTGTCGATTTAAATTTACTTTAAAAGCAAATTTGAAACTTAATGTAAATAGCAAGTTTATCAAACTTGATACTGATTGGAATATTTATCCTTTGTGGATAGGGACTGGGGTGTCAAAAAATATCAGATATTATACAATACCTTTTTATTATCATATAGAATAGCAGCTTGATGCTATTTTACGTACTTTTGGGTAATTATATTTAAAATGCTTTATTACTATTATTTAGTCATTTAGAATATATAATCACGAAAAAGGCATCAGACTCATTTGATATTTAATATTCTTGAATTAGATATAAAGGCAGCTAAAGTAAGATTTATCTCCAGTCAATTAAAAGCTGTAACCTAATTTGTCATTTTTGAACAACTAGTTTAAAGTTTTAATACGCTTCTCTACTTGACCATTTTTTCTATTTAAGTATTCTGAAAATTAATTTTATGAGAAATATTTATTAGGATTTCTTTTAACATTTACATAATTTTATCATTTCATTTCATCAACTCTACTTCAATAAATTAATATATTATAATAACAACTAAATATTTTAGATGTCAAATTGATTTGGTTGAAAAAATTAATAAAATAGTAGGATTTTATGAACCTTAGTTAAGATTTTAAATCCATCTAGCATTCAAGTTGTAGTTAATTATTTGGAAAGTTAAATCTACATTCAATAAAAACGAACTTATTGATTAATAACAAACTATGTTCTTTAAAATTAATAAATAATACATATAGAATATGTTATGAATGTTATGAACTTGCTCGCTTTGAAGTTGAGATGCTTAAATTTTGATAATCTTCTTAGACTGGAAAGAAAATAAATTTATTATGGCAATGTTGTTATTATATGTTCTAAATAAATTATTATTAGTAGTTTTTTTTTAAATTAGACTAATATGGGAATTTGTTAGGATTGTAATAGAAGATCTTAAAAGATTATGATATTTGCAAAATTACTCGTGATTAAAGTTATGATAGACTTATATCTCTCAAAAATTATATGAAGAAAATGCAGCTAACTATATCATTGGAATTCCATTACATGAAATGGAAAATAATTTTTATGTTGTTGAGGAATATATAATATAAAAATATGTTCAATAATTTGTATTGATTATTAAACTTTATAATATTCTTCAAAAATAATGATCTTTTAATAATTTTCTAATTATTTACTATCTCATCTTCTACTTCTTGTTACTTTTAAACAGTCTCATATCTAATCTAAAGAAAATTAGAACGAGTTTTCAAAATATTGGAAATGAGAAAGGAATTTTATAGTCTTATTTAATAAATATATATTTGCATAATGCTATTATTTCTTTGAATTTAAATTGCTTGCTTAGAATTTTAATCACATTTCAAATTTTCTATTTGTGAAATATTTAATGGTTGATTAGAATACTATAATATATTAACAGTCAACTAAATTATTTAGAAATATCAACTAGTTTCTAATATTTATTATTTTATGTGTAGATTAATCAATTAGTTATTGTTTTATAAACTTTGACATCATAACAAATATATTAATTAAAATTTGGAGAAAAGCTCATTAATAAATTAATTATTTCTTTTGTTAATTTTATATATCTCATTTAGTAATTATAGAATTAATATTTCTTTCTTATGTCATTCTAATTCCCATTATCATTTTAATTGTTATTTTGAATTCTAGATATACTTAAAAATTAATCTTATTTTTTCTTCTTCTCATTCCCTTTACAAATCTAATATTTGTTTTTATTTTCTAAACTTCTTATTCATGCTTGTTGTTAATAATAAATTAAATCAATCTACACATATCACATTGTTTAATTATTAATATTATAATTAAATTCTATAAATATCTCTAATGACAATTTTAATATATTCCCAAAAAGATTTTTCAAATTTTAATTAAACAAAAAATGTCAACAAAGAATATAATCTAATTGTTTATCGTTTGCTCCTCCTTTCATTTAGGTAATTTATAGTATATATGTTTAAGCTTAATCATGTAATGAAAATTAATACTCTAAATCTTCAATGTTTGGGTCAAGTTGTCAAAACTGCATGGATCATTGTGATACATGTACTAATTCTGATAGTTGTATTCTATGTTCGAATGGATATTACTATAGAAAAGTAGAAAAGTGTACAATTTGGTGTTCATATGATTATAATTGCGAGCCTTGTCCAACTTCTTGTACTTTATGCACATCAGACATTAATTGTAGTAATTGTGCTATTGGATATTATATATAAGAAAAAACTTGTTTAAAATGTTTGGGATCCTGCTTGACNATTGTAATAGAAGATCTTAAAAGATTATGATATTTGCAAAATTACTCGTGATTAAAGTTATGATAGACTTATATCTCTCAAAAATTATATGAAGAAAATGCAGCTAACTATATCATTGGAATTCCATTACATGAAATGGAAAATAATTTTTATGTTGTTGAGGAATATATAATATAAAAATATGTTCAATAATTTGTATTGATTATTAAACTTTATAATATTCTTCAAAAATAATGATCTTTTAATAATTTTCTAATTATTTACTATCTCATCTTCTACTTCTTGTTACTTTTAAACAGTCTCATATCTAATCTAAAGAAAATTAGAACGAGTTTTCAAAATATTGGAAATGAGAAAGGAATTTTATAGTCTTATTTAATAAATATATATTTGCATAATGCTATTATTTCTTTGAATTTAAATTGCTTGCTTAGAATTTTAATCACATTTCAAATTTTCTATTTGTGAAATATTTAATGGTTGATTAGAATACTATAATATATTAACAGTCAACTAAATTATTTAGAAATATCAACTAGTTTCTAATATTTATTATTTTATGTGTAGATTAATCAATTAGTTATTGTTTTATAAACTTTGACATCATAACAAATATATTAATTAAAATTTGGAGAAAAGCTCATTAATAAATTAATTATTTCTTTTGTTAATTTTATATATCTCATTTAGTAATTATAGAATTAATATTTCTTTCTTATGTCATTCTAATTCCCATTATCATTTTAATTGTTATTTTGAATTCTAGATATACTTAAAAATTAATCTTATTTTTTCTTCTTCTCATTCCCTTTACAAATCTAATATTTGTTTTTATTTTCTAAACTTCTTATTCATGCTTGTTGTTAATAATAAATTAAATCAATCTACACATATCACATTGTTTAATTATTAATATTATAATTAAATTCTATAAATATCTCTAATGACAATTTTAATATATTCCCAAAAAGATTTTTCAAATTTTAATTAAACAAAAAATGTCAACAAAGAATATAATCTAATTGTTTATCGTTTGCTCCTCCTTTCATTTAGGTAATTTATAGTATATATGTTTAAGCTTAATCATGTAATGAAAATTAATACTCTAAATCTTCAATGTTTGGGTCAAGTTGTCAAAACTGCATGGATCATTGTGATACATGTACTAATTCTGATAGTTGTATTCTATGTTCGAATGGATATTACTATAGAAAAGTAGAAAAGTGTACAATTTGGTGTTCATATGATTATAATTGCGAGCCTTGTCCAACTTCTTGTACTTTATGCACATCAGACATTAATTGTAGTAATTGTGCTATTGGATATTATATATAAGAAAAAACTTGTTTAAAATGTTTGGGATCCTGCTTGACTTGTTAAAATAGTGGAAACAACTGTACAAATTGTATTGATTCAAGTAATTAATAAACACCGAATTGTGATTGTTAATTACCAACAAAATATTTGGATTCTTCAACTTATTATTGCTTAGATTGTTAATAACCTTGTATAAACTGTAGCTCATTAACATCTTGTGATTCGTGTATTTCAACTCATATACTTAATGATCATACATGTATTCCTTGTACTAAACCATGTTATGAATGTAATATAACAATAAAAACATGTATATCTTGTATTGATAATTTACATTAATTAACACCTACTTGTTAATGTGAAGATGGATATTATTTAAATGATTTAACATTTATGTGTGATTAATGTTTATTTCCATGTTTGACTTGTGAAACAAATGATTCTACTTGTTTATCATGCAAATCAACATATACATTAATTGAAAATAGTTGCTCTTGTTTAATTAATGAATTTGAAGATGATACTATCCCAAAAGTTTGTTCTTAATGTTTAAGTCCTTGTTATACATGTGAAGATTCATCAACTAATTGTCTATCTTGTATAAGTGGATTAAATAGACATATAAATAATTAAACTTGTATTTGTGATGATGGTTATTTTGAAAATGAAACATGTAAGCCTTGTATTTTACCATGTATATTTTGTACTTCAGATTAAATTTGTCTATCTTGTAATGATTAACTCACATAAATCTTACCATATTGTTTATGTAAAGATGGATATTTTATGGATGAATCACATTAATGTTAATTATGTAATCATCCATGTATAAAATGTGCTATTAATTCTAATTCCTGTTTAGAATGTGCTCCTACATTTAATTTTAATAGTACAACTAAAACTTGTAATTGTTTAGATGGATATTATGAAGACTTAAATTATCATCCATCAAGATGTGAGTTGTGTACTGGTACTTGTAAAACTTGCTAAAATTTATCAACTTTTTGCTTGTCTTGTCTTTATGATTAATAAATTCTTAATGAATAACACTAATGTATTTGTTAGGATCATTCTGTTTTAATTGGTAATATATGTGAATTATGTGTTCCTCCATGTATTAAATGTTAAACAACTACTGATTATTGTACTTAATGTTAAGATATTCATCATATAATTGACAATGGTTAATGTAAATGTGATTAAGGTTGGATAAGTGATAATAATAATAATTGTATTAAATGTTAATCTCCTTGTTTAACTTGTTCAGTAAATTAGAATCACTGTGATTCTTGTATTGATGAGAATCATATTCTTAATTCAAATTATAATTGTCTATGCAAAGATTTATTTTATGCTGAATCTTTAGATTCATGTTCTCCTTGTTCACCTTTATGTGCTACTTGTAATTAAGATGGATGTTTGACATGTAAAGATTCAAATCATATATTAATCAATAATTAATGTTAATGTTAAAATGGATATTATATGAATGATTATTCCTGTTATGAATGTTAAACACCTTGTTTAGATTGTTTAATCAATGCTAATCATTGCATATCTTGTGTTGATAATAATAAATATATCTTAGAATTTAATATATGTAATTGTAGAGATGGATATTATTTTAATGATGATTTATGTCTAAAATGTTCTCCTTAATGCTAAACTTGTGTAGATGATCCAAATAAATGTCTCAAATGTTCAGATACTAATTTAATATAGATATAAAATGAATGCAAATGTCAAGTTGGATACTATTATAATGAAGATTTTGAATGTTCATTATGCAAAATTGAATGTGTTAGTTGTAATTCATTTGAAAATTGTACTCAATGTTAAGAATAATATTACTTAGATGAAAATTAATAATGCATTCATTGTATCCAGAATTGCAAACAATGTTTAAATTTTTAATCTTGTGATTAATGTTAGGATGGATATTTCTTTATTGATTATTAATGTAAAGAGTGTATTCCAAATTGTAATACATGTGTAAATTAATCAGATAATTGTACTTCTTGTATTAGCCTCTTTGATTTAGTTGATAATAAATGTATATGCAAATTAGGATATTACATGGATAATTCTGATTGCTTTAAATGTTAGTATCCATGTAAAAATTGTATTTCATTATAAATTTGTATGTAATGTTCTTAAATTGAACATATTACTCTTGAAAATGATTCTTGTATTTGTAAATAAGGATATTATTTAAATTAAAACTAATGTTTAGAATGTCATTTTAAATGTAAATCTTGTAATTCATATAATGAATGTATAAAATGTGATTAGAATAAAATATTATAGAATAAAGATTGTATTTGTAATTCTGGGTATTTTTAAACTGAAAATTACGAATGTTTATCATGCAATTCAATTTAAGGTAAAAGCATCGAAAATTGTAAATATAAAGATTGTACAGATAAACTATGGACATTTGGAGAAGATTGCGATGATGGAAATTAAATAGAAAGAGATGGGTGTACTTATTGTATAATAGATCCCCATTATATATGTATAAATAAAATACTTGAACCTTCAATTTGTTTTAAATGTAGTGATAATTGTAATTAATGTGATTTTAATTAAACAAAAGATTCCACTATTTGTACTCGTTGTGAATAAGGATACTTTATTAAATAATCATTATGTATTAAATGTGCTCAATAATGTCTCTAATGTATTAATACTGCATCTAATTGTACTTAATGCCGATTTAAATTAAATAATTTAGGTTAATGTTTAAAATGTGAAGATACTATAGGCTAATACTCTAATTATGAAACTAACACATGTTTTACTATGTGTGGTGATGGAATAATGAGTTTTGATGAAGAATGTGATGACGGTAATAAATTAAATGGAGATGGTTGTAATGAAATATGCAGATTAGAAAAATAATTTGTTTGTAAAGATTCAGTTTGTATCAAACCTGATTTACCTATTCCATCTTTAAAACCATTAGGTGATCAATCTATATACAATAATTTTAGATTATTTCAATTATCCTACAATATCCTCCTAGAATATAGAAATGATATAGATTTTAATAAAGATGTTGAAGTAATTATTCTGAATGGTTAAGCAGAAATTAATATAAAGTAATAAAGTGATATCATCTCTAATATGAATATATTTAATTCATCCAAACTCAACTTAACTGTCAATATATAGATATCTTTGAATTAAAGTATAAGTAATTAAGAACTCATAATTAATTTTACTAACCTTTCTCATTATAAATCGATGGATGGTTATTAATAATAATTATAGATAGTAAAAACTAAGATTGCTGATTTTATCTTGGTAGATGTATCCATAGTTTAATAGGTTGAAATTGCTACTTCAAGTAATTAATACATATTATATGCTATTGGAACTATGAGTGGAACTGCTCTTTTATTTGGAGGCTTAGATATTTTTTATAATCTTTTAGATACAATATAATTATTGTCATATCTAAAATATATTAACACGCAATTTCCATTTAATTTACAATAATTTTTTAACTGCTTTCAATTTGTACAAATGAATTTTATTTAAAAATATTTCGATTTTTAAGATCTTTTTAATTCATATCTGATTGATGAAAACTTTAACAACATTCCACTCAAGATTAAATAAGATGAATTAACACCACTATTTATAATAAATAGTGCATCTGTTATTTTTATTTGGTTTACTTTAATGATAATATACTTAGCTTCAAAAAAGATTCCATATTATTTACATCGAATCAATTTCAAATACTATGATGATGAAATACCAAATAATAAAATCAGTTTCATTCTTAAGATTAAATATATAATTTTAGCTTTGAAAATATCAATAACAAGATTTTGTCTAAAAGTATTACGTGAATTCTTTTGTAGTGGAATCTATAGAGTAATAATCACAACTGCTTATGATTTCACTTTTGCCATTGTTCTCTAATTATATTCATTAGACATAGTGTCATAAAATATTTTAATTAGATTAAGCTCATTACTTGCATTATTGTTGTTTTTCTTTTACTTATTTATAATATATCATATAATCAAATTGAGTAGTTAAGATAAATATGCATTCACAAATTATCAAAATAACCTTAAATATGGAACTTTGTTTGAGGGAGTTAAGAAAAATAGTGTCAGTAAATATTTTAATGTTATACTCTTGACTAAAAAACTATTTTTTATGTCAACTTTAATATTTTGTTATGATGTTCCAACAATTTAGATAATAAATTTAATTATCTTGACTACTATTTAATCTTATTTTTTGGTTTCTTTTAAGCCGCTTACTGATTATAAAGAATTTATAAAATAATTTAGTTGTGAACTTAATATTTCTATCACATTATTGTTATTATTAATATTAAGTGTAAATGAATAATTAAGAATATTTACGGAAGATGTAAAAACTTATTTAGGATGGAGTTGCATTGCAAGTATCACTGCTATTTTATTAATATAATTAATTATAGATGCTATTCAATAATGGATGTTTCTATTACAGAAGTATAAAAAGTTAAAAAGATTTTTTAATAATATTTTAAAACTATTCAAACCAGACTTATTAAAATAAGTAGATCATAATTTATTTATGACAGCCTGAATATTAATTTGATATTGCATAGATATTAATATTTATTAAAGTAATTTACAATTTCTTTTTATAATCTTAAGATTAAGTTTTAATTAGATTATACTAATTCAATATAAATAATTAATAATAATCATTCGAGTTAATAATTTTCAATATTAAGAATTTGAAATTATTAAATTAGTAATAATATCTGTAAATAATGTTAATTATATATTACTAATTATTTATTGCTAATGTTGAAAGATAAAAATAACACAATCACTTCTTTCTAATCTAGAAATAAACCTTCTGTTGGTATCCTAATAAGCTATATTCTGTAACAAAAATTTCTCTCCACTTTTCTTTTTCCAAAATATTTTATTATATTTTTAATAGAATTAACTTTATATTCTAATAATACTTTAAAATATTTCTTGCTATGTCATAAATAAAAGGATATAATGATGAAATTTACAACAAGAATAATTTATCAGCAATGAAGGAGTCAAATTATTCTTTTATTCGCCAATTAATTTAGTCAATCCCTATCATATGGAATAAAGAGATAAGATTCAAAAGAAGAAAATTTATTAAATTTATTTAATCACTTTAAATAATAACTTTGCTTTTTGATGAATAAAATTATGTTGATTAAAAAAATTTTGGACAATAAAATTTTAGTAAATTTTATTATTAAAAATACATAATTTTAGATGTGATTTTTATACTCCATAAAGAATTTAATTTGTTTTAGAAAAAGTAAAGAATTTTAAATATTTGATAGGTCAAACTCAGCTAATTCATAAAGATTTGAAGAAGATGGATACAGATTTGAACGAAACTTTCTATACATGTCTATATCTAATAATTTAAACATCCCATTTTTGACTTCCAAAAATTTTTTTACATCAATATCATTTTAAGATAATTAATTACTGATGTTATGAACATCATGAAATTCTCAGAGAGAGAGCAATTTTAATTACTTCTAGATTATAGTATAATGTTCTACTATATATATTCTTTTGTACTGTTGATGTCCTTTCAATAATTACTCAATTAAAAAATAAAACAGGAGATAATTTACAGATTGGTTGTATTTAATTAGACTTCAGCACTTTTAGCCATTATTATGGAAATCTGTTCATATTTTATTTTGTTTCTTCATTATTTTGTAAAAGAGAGCTAAAGATTTTTGTTTCGATTGATTAAATGAAAATTAAATGATTAAATAAAAAATACTAAAGCGCTTAAAATTAGTCTAAAATATTAACTTTTAATCAAAAATGTTATTTCATATAGTTGTAATGATAGATTAATCACATTAAAATAAGGGAACAGAAAATATGGAAATAATCTGTTTATTTAATGTTTTTTATGTTATCTAAAGTTTGCAAAGATTTTAAACCATTAGAAATATTTATTTATTGATTATAAAAATTTAAATAATTATTTTCTTTTTATAAAATCAATTTTTTAAATAATAGAATTAATACAATAAAATTAATAGAAATACATTATAATTTTATTCAGGAGATCCTAGATTTTATTTATTTATAGTAGCATTGGGTTTATATTTTAATTTTTTTATGGATTACTTATAATAATAAAGATAATTATGGCTGAAATAAAACTGATTGGAAAAGAGGATTTAAAATGTTTCTAAAAGCATAATTTTCCCATATGTTCAATAAATTTAGGAAAAGATGTTAAAATGAATGAGAGGCTATTATGTAACGAATGCCTGCTCAATTTTATATAAGAAAATAATATAATATAAGGTTTCAATATCATTCAATCAAAAATTGAAAATAATATCTAAGAGTATAGACATAAGCAAATCTCCTTTATAGCTTAGAAAAAATAACAATTAGTAAGTTTAAAGAATAACTTTATTGCATGGAAATCAACCATTAATTAATAAATTGATTAAATTCTAGGATATATAAATTTATGGATTGATAACATAATTTCTAAAAACATAATAAAAGATAAATATGTAATAATGGAGGAATTAGAAAACTTTGTAAATTAATATGAATTTCATGAAAAGAATTTTGAATTTTTAGTTGAATAAATAAATTTTATTAATTAAGCATCATCCAATAAAATTTAATTAAAATTAGCTTAATTGAATGAGGAATATAGAAAAATAATAACATAAACAAAAGACTCTTTTATGAAAATTATAAACATTTCATAACATAAAATTTCTCTCAAACCCATTAACAATCAATTAAAATAATCAGATGACTGTTTTACGATTGCCTTTAACTATACTGGATAAATCATGATTTCTGGATGTGGTAAGGATATAAAAGTATGGAATTTTTAAAATGGTTAAATTTAAGAAGTTTAAAAATTGTAAGTTCATTAAAGCACCATAAGTTGTTTACTTTTTAGTAAAAATTAAAATAGTTTCATTTCTGGAGCTTATGATCACACAATCAGATGTTGGTTGTAAATAAATGGATAACAATGGAAGAGTTCATAGAAATATGAAGAACACTCAAGCGATATTCAATGTTTATTATTATGTAAAAAAGAGAAAACTTTATTTTCTGGAAGTTGTGATAAATCTATTAAAATATGGATAGTTGATTTTGCTAACAATAATCTTTAATACTGCTATTCATTAGAGAAACATACACATATTGTTTACGGATTAACATTAAATGAATCAGAGACGTTCTTAGTTTCTTGTGGGGATGATTAATAAATAATAATTTGGAAGAAATCAAATAATAATAAATGGGAGTTTTATCAATTAGTTAATCAATCAATTAGGGAAGTAGGAGCCGTAACCAGCTTTATTAAAGAGAACCTATTTATTTGGATTGGTGGAGTTTAAAATGGAAAAGATTGTGTTAGTTATTTTGAATTGATTAAAGGATGTATTGTAGAATAAAAAAATAAAGAATAACAATTAATACTTTCCCCTGAAGTCTTTAATTATTCTTTATTTCCTATTGTTTTTAACAAAGAAAAGTAAATTATATTATTTAGACATAAATTTCATATTTATTTACTCACAAAACAAATTTCTGGTAAATATCGAATATCAACAAAAATTAAATTTGAGAGTAATGAAATCTGGGGAAGTATGACGAATGATGCAAAATTTTTAGTTTTATGGGAAAAGAAATAATGTCGTTTTTTAATTTATTAAATTGAGTATCAGACAATATGATATTAAATATTATTAAACAAAATACCATTATTTACACTCTTAGGTTTGTCTAAGAAGGGTTTGGTCCAAATATTTACGGGTTTGGGTTTACCCTTTAAAACTTTATTTCAGCAGTTTGATAATGTTGAATGTTTGAACAATAAACTTTTTTATTTTTTATTATTTAATTTTTTGTATAAGACTAAATTTTCCGAAAAAAAAAAAAAAAAAATTTTTTTCAAAAAGAGAATAAATTTTTTCCTT